CCATGTTGATCACGTGGGCGGAGATACCATGCCATGGTGCCTGTCACGCTGATGAGGAAATCCTAGATTTTACTGGGCAAAAAGGACGGGTCATTTAAGGAGAAGCCACAATGTTCTAAGTGTTCGCCTATTTCTCCACCCACGATGCCGTCGCTAAATTTCCTCGGAGCCAGGCACTAGTCGTGTGGGCGGAAACTCCCAATCATTGTGCCTTCCTCACTGTCTTCCCGCGGATACGATGAGGAGTAGGAGGATGGATGAGTGAAAGTGGTTGGATTTCTCCCCCAATACCTCTTCCCAGTGTGCTTATCAGTCAGCTGAGGCAGAAATCGTTCGCGGGGGGAGGAGGGGGCAGGGCGGTGAGCCTTATTTACAAGTCGCGAAATCGTGGCAGAGACACAGAGTATTTTCAAGCCAGTTGATTAGACGGGTATGTGACAAGAGAATCGTAATTCACCGCGCTGGTGGCGTCGCGTGCGACGTCGCGCCACGATGGTTCCAGGTAGTAGATGGCGACAACAGGCAATTCAGAACCGAAAATAGTCATGAATGTCTACGATGACGGGGTCTACATGAAGTCCGGTGCTCCAGACAGGTTAACACGAGTTAAGAAAACGCCGCGCCCATCGCCGCGCGCGGCGGAGCGACAAATTACGATTCTCTTGCCCGTCTTCCTGAGTAGACAGACAGGCGCATAGAGAGCAAGTTTACTTGAAGAAAAGAGATGAGAGAGTCGACACAAGGGGACATCGCGACGTTGAATGGATAGGGTCCTAGTGCGAATGTAGCGTACGTCGCGCCTCGCTTGCAAGGACAACCACCGCCCTTCAATGTCCCTCAAAACGGTCCCCCCCCCCACACGCCCCCGCACCTTCTCCCCCGCCCCTCCTCCAATGAGACGTAGCGCTCCACACCGTTTTAGACCCTTTTGCCAAATATAGTGAGAGCTACATTCCGCGTTTGTCATTACGGAGCTACATTCCGCGTTTGTCATTACGGAGTGGGAGCTACTAATAAGCCTTTCGCTTCAATGTCCCTCAAAGCGGTAAAGAGGGGTCAGTAAAGAAGCGTGGTGGCTCTCCGCCCATCTAGTTATCGCAGAATGTGCTTTCAAATAGTGACTCAATGGTGTATTTCAGCTATTGTCTAAGGATTCGAAAATGAAAGCATCCTCCACAGTGAAAAGTGAATTAGTACCGCTGGCAGCTGAGGTGAGAGATCGCTACTTCTTCTTATCAATCAACTCACCACTGAGAAGCGGGCAACTGCTTTAGGAACTCCACCCACGCGGGATTTTTTTTGCACTGTTTAGGACTATTAACGCTGCAATTTTCCACCTCAAAAGCTCTTATTCTTTCAGCTCTCTACAGCATTCACTGTACTCGAAGAGGCACTTCTTGAAGTGATGTCCTTTACACTCAGCTCTCCAGCTGCTACTCGTCTACTGGAGACGATTCTCACTCAGATGACTGGCATTCATAGAGTCGTCATGAGAGAGGTGTGGTTTTTTTCTCGGACACAGCTAGCATGTAGCCTTGAGGGGGAGGGGCACAGCCAAATGACTTATTCTGTAAAACTGGAATTATTGTCATCAGCATAGGATTATTTTTTATTCAAAGTCGCTTCAGCCACCGCCAACCAAGTTTTAGGTAAAAAAGTTTTTTCTTTCAAAAGTGAGCTCGTCCACTACTTGAAATCAGCGGCTTGAATAAGAGCTCAGTTCACAGGGTTTCAATCCCCCTCACTGTTCCACCTCTTCTCCCATTTCAAATCAGCAACAAATGAAGGCGCCCGCCGCCTTTAGATCACTTAAAAGACTCTTTTCAAAAGTTTCCAGTGGTGAATAGGCGAGTTTTTCATGTGGTTGAAGGGGACCTTTCGCTGCAGACGATGGGTTACGTCAGGGGATGTGACTGGGTTTGGCGTGGCACCAGCCCATTCTCCATCCTTGTTGAAGCCGGCATGCCTCAACAGTTGGTGCAAACGGGTTGGCGCCCTGCCAAGCTCGGTCCTTCTAATACGGCGCAGCGCCTGAAGCGAAAAGGGCTATATGATTATGGTTTCAGATGCCGAGAACGACATTAGCACAGTATTTGGAAGCAGAAGGTGAGTGCTATCAGTATTGTTGGAACTTCTTTCTATGACGATTCGGAGCCAAATCGATTGCGTAGGGATCCGTCCCTACTGGTTCATTTGATTAACTTTACAATCAGCAGTGTCCATTCGTGCAAATATCAGGCTGTGTTCATACTTCGCGACAGCGTCCACCAGCGTTCCGAGCATCTGGCAGCGTCAGCGACTAGGAAAGTATAGGTATCGATCTAGCGTCTGTCAGCGTCTGCCAGCGTCTACCAGCGACCAGCAGCGTCCGGGAGTGGAGAGTATGGGGCGATAGGAGGGCAGCAGATAGCTGGTAGAGTATGGGGAGATAGGAGGGTAGCAGACTGCTGGTAGAGAGTATGGTGCGATAGAAAGGTAGCAGACAGCGGTACCCTCCCACTGCCCTATTTAAGGGGGAGATTTTACACACGAACTGCGGCGTGAAATCCAGCGAAGAGCGTGGCCAGCATGCGCCTGAGGAATCACGTCGTAGAGCTGCGCGGAATGCGTGGTTCGAAGGTTTGGATCTTGATGCGTGTGCTCTTTTGCATTTTTCGAAAGTGTCCCTGCACTTTAAACTATTTTGCATAACACTTGTCCCTGATAATGTCGTGGCGTAATGATTCTGAACTGATGGAGCCATTGCGAACGATTTCATGGAGATCACCTCCGGCTGAAAAGATTGTCATACGAGCCGAAAACTTCCAGCAGGTACGAAAACACTTTGAGATAGGCATAATTCAACATTATGTGAGTGGTGAATGAAGCTCTTGCCCAGCGCGATCTCCAGCATCATGATTGTCACATCAACGCCACTTCAATGGAAGCATTTTCCCAGTATACTCATCTTCGTGCACAACTTCGTGCGTTCGGATTCGTTTTCCAGTCATGTCGTTTGGAGAATAAAGTCATTTGAAGGCAAAATCTTCCTTCGGAATGCACTTTTGTTGTGTATGCTTTTCAAATCAAAGAAAGAAGAAGACAACAGCCAGAAGTGATCGCTATGGAATGGTTCGCAATGGCTCCATCACTTCAGAATCATTACATTATCAGGGACAAGTGTTATGCAAAATAGCTTTGAAGTGCACAGGGACCACTTTCGAAAAAATGCAAAAGAGCACACGCATCAAGGATTCAAACCCTCGACCACGCATCCGTGAGCCCTACAGACACTTCGGCCATTGCTGCCACGATCTCTCTTGGCCTTACGCCGCCAATTCGTAGTGTATTCTCCCCTAAAAAGCTCCGTAACTTCTTTCTGGGAGGTCCGCAGCAGATATGGAAGACGGTTTCGTAATTCCCGTCCGAAGACCTTTCAGCCGGTATACATTTCATTTCAAATGGCCACTTCGACCTACCATCCTTCCCTTGTTAGTTTGGCTTGCAAAACAGCAACATGCTATTTTGTAACGCCTAATCCCACAGCCTGGGACCCTCCTGTTTTCCTACGCTCTCCAAAAACACCAACGGCCACGGCGCCCCAATTCTACCATGTCTCTTTATTCCCGCCTCCGTTGTTGATATGGCGCTCGCACCTATAGCAGTGGAGCGCCGAATCGCGACAGTGGTCAGCGACGACGAGGCACACGAAGCACCATAGCTCGTTCGAACACACATCATCGCCAGAGTTATGGAACGCAAGCTCGAGGTAAAAGTCCGTGTTGGAGTATCGCAGACCCTTGAAACATATAAATATTTAGACCCATTTCGTAATACAATCTATTATACAAAGGTCAATGAAGGTTCTCATTTCGGGGAGCATTGCTACCTTTATTAAAGAAAGGTGTTCCTTCTCTTCCAGCAACCAGATAATGCCCTAGTTGCCTGTGTTTGGGAATAGCGCACGCTATGGCCTCCTCTCCTCAACTCGGGGGTCTCCTACGGTTCACACGCCGTTTCCCATTTGCAATTATTAATCGACTATCCATCAGCTAGCATTCCTATAAAACCTTTACAAACACTCGTACTATATATTCTATCGCTTCGATCTTCGTTTCTCAACAGGTCGCGTAAGAGGACGCCTTTTGCAGTGGAACTTGATCGTCGGGACGAGCTTGACGTCGACCGCCTTGCCTTTCTTTCCATTTTCTTGTTTCTGAGCAGTTTCTTGCAACTTTGAAGATTCCGAGGCCTTTTTCGCCGCAGCTAATTTGACCGGATCCGGTGTTCTTTGTGGAGGGACATAACTGCTCGATGTCGACGTCGTTTCAGGTGCATTTTTGCCTGTAGATTGTATCGTTGATATAGTAGAAGAGCTCTTCCGTCGACTCTTTCCAATCAATGTCGCTGTATCAAAGGAAATATTATTCTCACTTTCTGAAATGGATTAACCAGAACAAAAGCGTAAATGTTAGGAAAAGTATTGTGCAAGACATTTAGACACTACCTGAACTGCATCCGGGTGAACCCACACGTGTTGGTGGGCGTTCGCTGTCGCTTGGCTTTGTCGTAGAAGCTTTGCTTCGAGTCATTTCCTGGCTTCTGCGGGAATTTATGTCCTCAACCCCCGTTCAGAAAATACTCATGGAAGGAGTATCACCAAGCATGCCTCTCCAACAAAATTTCACGGCTTTTGAATATAATTGAATACACATCGTTGTTGGATATAATTGAATATAATTGAATACACATCGTTGTTGGGGAATCCCCAATAGGGGGGGGTCGTATTTGGGTCGAAAAAAAATTTATTTTGATAGTTGATTTTCTCGCGTTCACGACGTTAGCAAAGGGTGGGGGTCTACTTGATCATTTCGGTGGTGAAGCGAGGTCGATATTTACTTCCTGACCTTTTTAGGCTGTGGTGAGTGTGTAGTTGCCCGCTCTTGTGATTTTCCTGCTTTCATGCACTATTATTGCCCCCAGGCCCGCTCAAGGGCTCGAATCTTATGAGAGGATTAGAGGGCTGGGGGGGGGTCGTGCCACTTCCAAAAAAAGGGGGCGGGTCTTGCAGACTCGACTAAAATCCCCAACCAATGATGTGCCCTGGTGCAGCCCGATCAGCATGCTGATGCTACGGGTTCATGCCGGCTGATCAGGCTGCGTCCATACTTTGCTGCAGCGTCCACCTACGTCTACCCTAGCGTTTCGAGCGTCAGACAGCGTCAGCCATTAGCAAACTATAGATATCAATCTAGCGTCTGACAGAGTCTTTCAGCGTGCACCAGCGTCTACCAGTGTCCAGTAGTTCCTCGAGGGCCTGGGAGCACAGGTATCAGGTAGAGTATGGGAAGATAGGAGGGTGGCAGATTGCTGATAAAGAGTATGGCGCTATAGGAGGGTTCTATCTGTCTGCTACTCTCCTCTTGCGCTATACATTCCTCTTCTAGACGTTAGTAGACGCTAGTGCACGCTGACAGACGCAGGATCGATATCTATACTTTCCGAGCTGCCGACTGCCGGACGCTCAAAACGCTAGGGGGCGCTGCCGCAAAGTATGAACAAATCCTTGCGGGGTCAGCGTATGTACAAGTTACTGTTTTATCCTTCCAGACCCAGCATCTGGAAGCTGTGATTTGGACTAGGACTGCGCACATGGTAAGCGTGCCCCCTGCCTCCACACCACCTTGGCCTCAACTGTTGTGATTTGCGCAATGTATACGACACTTCACAATCTGTGATTCAATGCTGTATCACTTTCAGAAGTGCTTGAAACTTCAAAACACACCACGACAGCTTGTGCATGATTCCGAGAACCGACCCACTGCGGTCAGCCTCACGATAAGGGGACAACGGTTCTGTGGGCGATTTAGGGCTCAGAATCATAGTGGAACTGTCCACTGTACTCGTGCCTGTGTTAACCATTTCTTCAGATGGCCAAGCATCCAGTCTAAACGGAGAGGCTTCAATGACTATACGCCAAAAGCGTCAAAAAGGATAAAATCTAGGAGAAGGCTCACTTCACATAGGGAGTGGACTTGGGCTTTTTTGGAGCCTTGAAAAATTTTCTTAGTTCAGGGTCCAAATCAGGCATACCTGTCATTATCGAGTATTAGACTGTTCTGT